CTGCTCTTCCCGCTTGCTACTTTGGGCGTCCCTGAGTTGTCTCTCCTCACCTGTAACCCTGGGGCTGACTGCTCTTCTGTCTGGGTTCCTGGCTTTTTATCCCCTTTCTCCTGCTCTTCCAGCCTGTTGCTTTGGGTGGTCCTGAGTTGCCTCTCCTCACCTAATCCCTTCGCCTGACTGCTCTTCTCTCTGGCTTCCTGGCTTTTAATCCCCTTTCTCCTGCTCTTCCCACTTGCTACTTCAGGCGTCCCAAGTTGTCTCTCCTCCCCTGTAACCCTGGGGCTGACTGCTCTTCTGTCTGGGTTCCTGGCTTTTTATCCCCTTTCTCCTGCTCTTCCGGCCTGCTACTCTGGGCGGGCCTGAGTTGCCTCTCCTTACCTAATCCCTTCGGCTGACTGCTCTCCTCTCTGGCTTCCTGGCTTTTAATCCCCTTTCTCCTGCTCTTCCTGCTTGCTACTTCGGGCATCCCTGAGTTGTCTCTCCTCACCTGTAACCCTGGGGCTGACTGCTCTTCTGTTCAGGTTCCTGGCTTTTTATCCCCTTTCTCCTGCTCTTCTGGCCTGCTATATATATATTTTTAACCTGTCTAGGAATTTAGCCTCCCCTCTTCTCCCATCCCTGCTAACCAACAAAAAAGTTTCCTTCTATGTATAAACCTTTCTTTGACTTTTTACAACAGTGGACTTAATGCAATATTTGTCCTTCTGTGATTAATTTATTTCACTCAACGTAATGTCTGGTTTCTTTTTAAAGAACTTTTAGAGCAGAGTTTTCCTAATAACCCTTAGTAACCTGTCCCATTATGTTCTTGTAATCAAAAAGTGATGTCACTCCAAACACTTTTCAAGTTAAAATCATTGTTACATCTTCTCACCCTTTTGCGATTGAGATGAAGAATAATAGCCAGTGCCTAAGAGTGGCTAACAGGAGGAAAAGAAGCATATGAATTGAATGAGAAAGAAAGTTGTGTTTATGTTTCTCCACTGTTGATATGACTTTGATAACAGGTAACTGAGGAGGCCTAAAACTCCAGAATGACACCTATCATGTATTGCCTGCTCACTGTGAGCCAGCCACTATGCTAAATTGTTGACCCATATTATCTTATTTAATCTTCACAACAACCCTGAAGGATGGGTACTGTTATAATCCCCATTTCTCAAATGAGGAAACCAAGGCACAAAGCAATTATTTGCCCAAGGTCACAGGACAATCTGTAATAATAAACATAAGAACTATGGGAGTTTAGGAGTCTCTGTGTGGTGCCAGCAGTTAATGCACATGACTGCTAACCAAAAGGTTGGAGGTTGGAGTCCACCCAGAGGTGCCTTGGAAGAAAGGCCTGGCACTCTACTTCTGTAAAAGCAGCCATTGGAAACCCATGGAGCACAGTTCTGCTCTGACACACACAGGGTTGCGGTGAGTCAGAATCCACTTGATGGTGATGGTTATGAGGGTTTAGAAGATAACTCTATTTTCGTCAGTTGTGGGGGCAGGGTGCTACACAGAAGAGGAAAGAGTAGATGAAGAAACTTCTTAGGAGCTCATTCAAGCACCACAATCTTTCCCCTGAGCAATGAAGTAAGTGGCAAACAGGTCTTACCATTCATCTCACATGACTGAACTGAATCAGATCTTAACTAACTGTGCTGAACCATAAAGCCACAGCTCAGCCTTGTCTCCAGCCAAGGTCAAACCACAGCTTTAACTTTGGGAACAGCTAGCTCCCGGGCACTGGTACCAACAGTGCCCATTTGTGGCTGCCCCCACAGATACACAGGTACAGATATCGGTCATATTTTTCACCCTTGTGCTGTTTGCTTCTTTCAATGTAATTAAACTGAAGGAGATAATACAGATGAAGCACTGTACTTAGCTGATGCCTGGCACATAGTAAGCATTCCACAAATGGTAGCTATCATTAAGTGTGGTTGATAAGTTATGAAAACAGTATGATTTGGACTCACAAGTGGAAATAATAATGGAATATTTTCAAAGTTGTAAAAATTTTATTTCCCATTTCTTTTCAAACCTGTCCCGAGTGGCTTGCTTGTTCACATTTTTGGACCTGTCTGTAGCTCTGTGTCCACTGGCGCCCTTGGTTATTATGATACTGAAATATTTTAAGGACAATGGAAATAACTAGCAAAATGGGCTCGTCAAAGAAATGGAAATGCATTGGGTTTTGGATGTGCCCTTTTTTGTGAATAACCAAGATGGGTGCAGACACACTGACTCCACTGATGGCAAAGGGAGGCACATCTGAAGGGGACATAAGGCATCACCACTCCTTGGGCCACCCCAGGGCTGACAGTACACACTTAGGCTGTAGCTTGGGCTCCAGTCTCCCCTGAAGGCATTGCCTGTCTCCTAAATCAAGGTGGTCCACTCCACGGAGGTAGATTGGCTGTGTTGGGTGAACTGAACAGCTTCCCTGGATCCATTTTATTGATGTTTTAGATGTCATAGCATATGATAATAATCACATGGTTGTTGAAAGGATGAAATGAGATAACAGAAAGTGCAATGCTCCGTACAGATTCAAGTACAGCCAGTGCAAGAAGCATTGACTGGGATCTAGTCCAGGTTCTGTCGTCACTATTTTGCTGGGTGACCACAGGCAAGGTGCTCCCATTGTCTGGTCCTCAGATTTTCTTCTCTGATCTTCCTGCTCAGCAAAATGAGAGATGTATTTAATCCATTAATTTGGGAGAATTCTATTGAGCATATTCCATGCCAGCCACGGTGTGCTTGGTGGACTTGAAGATGCTCCAGGGCAGGAGTGCCGGGCTCAGCAGGGAGCCAACCCAGGAACAAAGACATAGTTGTGAGCAATGCTGCAGTCAAAAGAGACAAGGAGTATGAATTGACCTCAAGGGTCTCTTCCTGCTTTCAATTTTGTCCTTCTGGGACCAGGAAGAGGGACAGACAGGACAAGGTCTTTGGGAGGCCATATGGTACAGGGGTTAATATACATACAGTCTTCTTGGACCAGCTCTGTCACTTTCTAGCTGTGTGACCTTGCACCAAGACTTCACTATTTTATATAATGGATCACCTAATGAGATTTTCATTAAGAAGAAGTGCTTTAAAGTTTTGAAAAATTCCAGGTTAGAACACAGTGCTAACAAAATCAGACTTCAAATCCAAATGGATATTAACATAAAATCATAATATAATAAAAACCAACCAGTTGCCTTTGAATCTTGAATTTTTGAATTTTGACTCGTGTCAACCCCATGTGTGTCAGAGTAGTAGCACTGTGGTGGTTATGTTTCTGTGTCAGTTTGGCTGGGCCTGGTTGAGTGGCTGGGCAGCTGGTGGTAGTTATTCCCCATGATGAGACTGGCAATCAACTCCATGGTGGGATCTACCACAAGCAGCTGAGTAGCTGTTTTGGGTATGAGGTCTGCTTCCTGTATATAAAGAGAAGCTTTGGGAATGGTCTCTGGCGTATGGCACACTTGGACCCTGCATTAGCCGTGTCATTGTTCAGCAGCCTGCTATGCTCTGCCTTCCTTGGGACTTATAATGGACTTAAGTTAATGGCCTGCCGTGTGGTTTGGTAACATCAGAACTGTGCCTTTTGACTTGTCAGCCTTGGGGTTTCTCAGCCTCAGCAGCCAGCAGCTGTCTGAGTGCAGAAACGCCTCTAGCTCCAGTGGGCCGGGAGCAGGAAGCAGAGCTGGACCCCAAGGTTGAGGGGCTTTCAACCAGCCTTAGAGTCTGGCACTTTGAACTTGGACTTAAAGCCTCCAAATTGTAAGAATAAACTCCTGTTTGTTAAGACCAACCCATTTGTGGTGTATTCCTGTCAGAGTGGCACTAGGGAACGAGAACAAGCACTGTGCTCCACAGGGTTTTCCATGGCTGATTTTTCAGAAGTAGATCTCCAGGCATTTCTTCAAAGATGCCTCTGGATGGACTCGAACCTCCAGCCTTTCAGTTAGCAGCCAAGTGTGTTAACCATTTGGACCACTCTACTGTTTGTTGAGCACCTTTTCTGTGCCAGGCCCTGGAGCAGGGACACATCATCTCATGTATCTTTATGACATCCATGAGATGTGCATTATGTGGCTCCATAGTTCCAACTGGAAGTTCTTGGTCAGGCTGTCTGGGTTCAGATCCTAGTTTCCACCACTTGCTAACTTGTGTCTTGGGTATTTTCACTTTGTTGTGCCTCCATTTCCTCATCTATAAAAATGATGACATTGAAAAGGATCTGCCTTGTGGGTATTGTAAGGCACTGATGCACATAAAATGCCTAGAATGGTGCCTGGTACATAGTAAGAGCTCAATAAGTATGAGCTGCTTTTATTACTGTTAACAGTACATATCCATTTTACATTTGTCAACTCTTTGTGAGCTACTTTGCTTCCCTCTTAGCCATTCTATCCTATGGTTATGTTTCTTTGTCACAGAGTCACCTAGGGAGAGAGTTTTCTCCCACTGTAGGCAAGATAACTGATCCTCCACAGATCAGTCATACCAGGGCTGGAAGGGGCCTGGGAGAAGGGGCCAATGCACCCATTTTACTGATGAGAACACTGAGGCCCAAGGAGCTTTCATATGTCTCAGACATCTTGCCCCAGCAATTCCCACACACCATACCAGCCACGTGGGGGCCACCTTCCCGTGCTCTGTGGTGTTTGCCATATTTTTCCCTGATGTTCATCCATGTAGCAAAGTTCACTGTGCACACGGAAGGAAGCTATCAGAGAGAACATTCCTCAGGTGTGTCTCATAAACTTTTGGCTCATTTGGGCAGTTCTTAAACAGGCTTGTGCCATCAGATGAACATTTAAGTGCAGGAGAGCCTGGAAACAGTGCTCATCCAATTGCTCATGAAATGACTGTGCCAAATAAAACTTGGCCACGAAGATTCAAAGTCACTGTGGGAGGCTTCCCAAAGTTTATTATTGAAGGGAGGGTGGATATGAGGTGTATGTGGTGGTGATTTTTTTTTTTTTTCCCGAATTTAACTACAAAAAAAAAAAAAGAGGTACAAAGTATTGTAATGTATGGCTTAAAATTAAATTTCAAAGAAAAGGTATGTTTTCTGGCTATTCTATTCTTTCTTGAATAATTAAGATTTTATCTTACATTTGACAAAGCAAGAATTAATCATGCAATCGTCTATATGGTTTGTTGTTTGGAGTAAGAAAATGCTATTCAGTATAAAATGAAGTATTTCACAAGATTTTTCAGATGGATATGGTAAATTTTTAAGTGACAGAACCTGGTTTGGAGTGGGAACTCTGGGCCTATCCCGTAGATTGTAAGCTCTGTGTGGGTAGGGAGTTTTGTCTCTTGTTACCTGTGATGCTAGAACACTAACTGGTACATAGTGAGCACTCAGTCAGTCTATGGAATGAATTAATGGTTATCTCTTCTTCATGCTTAATCTTAGGGAAAATTGAATCAAAGATCTCTTGAGGATTTTGGTGTGTGTACGTTTTTGTGATTATATATATATATATATATTTATATTTCAACCTGCTATTTAAACCATCTTCACTTGTACAGTTCAGTGATACTATGTTTATCATGTTTATCAACCATCACCATTATCTGTATCCACATTTTCCCATCACTCTTAACAGAAGCCCAGGAACCCCTAACCAATGAATCTCCTTCTCCCACCCACCCTCAAAATATCTCTTGAGTTGTAAAGTAAATTTATGAGAAGATACTTAAATGACAAAGTAGCAAGGAGTACTGAGTTGCTTTTATTTGTTTGCTTATTTATTTTATGTTTTGCAGACCTTCCTTTACATTTAAATGCTGCCATGTTTGAGGCCAACGGTAGCTGTGGTTATGTGTTGAAACCTCCAGTTCTATGGGACAAGAACTGTCCCATGTATCAGAAGTTTTCTCCATTGGAACGAGAACTGGAAAACATGGAGCCTGCCATCTATTCTTTAACTGTAAGTGTGGCCCCTATTATCAGAATAGAGTTAGTGTTTAAGCCTTCCTAGGTATGAACCTGTTTAGAATTCAACATGTTACCAAGCTGTCATGTCACAATTTTGAAAGTGCAGATTTTGTTCTCAATAGAATTGCTTTACCTCTCAGAAGGCAGTGGCTATGGTTTAGGTATGCCAGCATTGGGCACTGGTATAGGCCAGAGCGAAGTAGATGGAGTTAATGAGATTCCTGCTTCACTTGAGGTACTGATGGTAATTCTGTCTCCCAGTGCCCACAGAAGCCTAGCCCTAAGTATGTCCCATAAGAGTTGAGCTCCTTGTTAAAGCAGCTAGCCTTAAGCCACCATCAGAGAAGCTAGTAGCATCAATATGCACATACAAGTAGGTATTTTTCTCCTTATAAGTTAGCCATTATCATTCTTTGGTCTTTCCTTATTCCTTTCATTGCCTAATTAATTCAATATCAAAACTCCACAGACTGCCCTTTACAACGGAACCCTGGTAGCTCTTCAGTCTGACACACACTTTGACCAGAGACAGACTATTTCTCAATCCCTTCCCTCCTCCTTGTCTGACAGAGGCCAAAAAGTAAAAAAACAATAACCCCACTGGGTAGATCATCTTAGATCTTGTCTGTCACTCCTCCAAAGGAAGAATATCCAATGGCCCTCTGCCAGAACAACCCCTCCTCCCAGAATAATACCATTTATAGATTTTCGTAGTGCTTTTTCTCTTTCCTGAGACAGTCAGGCAGTATAGCCCCTTTCCAATTTGACCATTTTAGCTACAACTGAGGTGATTTTTTTGTTTACAGAATATTATGAATTAATTTTTAACGGCACTCTGTGACTTACTTCAAAACTTCAAGAAAAAGGTCTTGAAGTTATGAAATCCATTCCTACAATGTTATGCATAGAATATTAGTAGCAAATTTGCAGTTACATTGTATAAGATATTGTCTTTTTCTCTCCCCAACTGTGAGACACTTAATTTTACCTTAATTGCTTGGTTTTTGTTTGTTTGTTTTAGCATTTTATTATTTTTGGTGAAAATATACAAGCAAAATACACCCCCATTCAATCATTTCTGCACATCATGGTCAGTGACACTGGTTACGTTCTTCCCATTGTCTCCGTGTTCTCGCATTATTTCTGTTCTGGTTTTTCCACTTCCTTTACCGAAGTCTCACTGGCCCCCAGACTTCCTACTCATGCTTCAGACTAGTAACTTGTCCATTTGATCTCATCTAGACAGTTTTCTGAACTAACTTGCTGCTTAGTTCAAAGGTGACTTTGGGGGATGAATTACTTGGTATTTGAAGACATTTGAACATTGTGGACACTGAAAGGTTATAGTTAGGTGAAGGCTGTTGGCAAAATAGGCTTTTCACATGATTACAGTCATGTGAGTACAATCACTTACTTTTTTTTTCCTCACTGCTTTATTAATCATTTACCTTGTACATTACAGTGTTCCTTGTCTGTGTGGAGGAAAGGGGTAAGGTGAAAGGAATTGTCATTGTTTTTTTGTATTTTGTTTTCATCTTTAGTGACTATGATCCCTTCCCCCATAGATTGTCTCTGGTCAAAATGTGTGTCCTAGCAACAGCATGGGAAGCCCTTGTATTGAAGTTGATGTCCTGGGCATGCCCCTGGACAGCTGCCATTTCCGCACGAAGCCCATCCACCGCAACACTCTGAACCCCATGTGGAATGAGCAGTTCCTCTTCCGGGTTCACTTCGAAGAGCTTGTCTTTCTTCGTTTTGCAGTCGTGGAAAACAACAGTTCGGCAGTAACTGCTCAGAGAATCATTCCACTGAAGGCTTTAAAACGAGGTAGAATAATATTGTCAAAATGATGATAATTATAACAGGGCAATGGATGTCCAGAATTCCTTACCCTCTTCTCTCTACTTTTGTGTATGTTTGACATTTTCCATATTAACAAGTTAAAAATAAGAGGCAGAAGGAAATAACATGAATTTGAACTCTTACAAAGCACTTGTCAAAGGAAGTTTTTCTTTCACATTTTTTAAAAATCTGAGGTATTAACAACTTTCCTTATAAACCGTGAAGGAGCCCCAGTGGTGCAGTGATTAAGCTCTTGGCTGTTAACCAAAAGGTCAGCAGTTCAAACCCACCAGCTTCTCTGTGGGAGGAAGATGTGGTGGTCTGCATCAGTAAAGATTACAGCCTCAGAAACCCTGTGGGGCAGTTCTACTCTGTCCCATAGGTTTGCTAGGAGTCCAAATTGACTCAAGGGCAATGGGTTCTCACAAAGCACAGCCTCTCCTACCCCTGTTGATATTGGGAGCAATGATTCTTGTGTCCCCATTTCCACACATCCCTTCTCAAACAGCACCCAGAGCACCCAGCATTTCAAAATCAGAGACTGAAGTAAGAAGGAAAAACAGGAGGATGGGTTTGGTCATGGTAGTGGCATAAGGACAGTAGTCATTTGGTGGTAGAATTCTCACCTTGCATTTTGGACACTCAGGTCTGAGCCCGGCCAAGGTACCTCCTGTTCAACCACCACCGTCTGTCAGCGGAGGCTTCTGTGTTGCTCTGATACTGAACAGGTTTCAGTGAACTTCCAGCCTAAGATGAGCCAGGAAGAAAGGCCTGACAGTCTGGTTCCTGTGGGTCACGACGTTTGATCCTGTCGTGCATGGGGTCACAGTGAATCCAAGGCCAATTCAAGGGCAGCTAACAACAACACTGGCATAAGTGAGCCACGTCTGGAATCAGTGCCCAGCAGGAGCCCAGTGTTGGAAGCCAGAGTGGGTGTTAGATGGGGGAGGACAGAGAATCTGAGGAAAGGCCAGAGCTATTGGCTTGGGCTCCTGGCTTCCTCGTTTGGCCTCTGGATTGGCTTTGTGGCACTCTGGGGAATTTCAATGTACTGTGCCTGACCAGAATGTCTATGCATTGTTTCTCCAACTTTGATGAGCCCACGAGTCATCTAAGGAGTGCTGGTGGCACCGTGGTTAAAGCATTTGGCTGCTAACCCAAATGTTGCCAGTTTGAACCCACCAGCCACTCCATGGAAGAAAAAGGAGGCAATCTGCTTCTGTAAAGATTTACAGCCTTGGAAACCCTTTGGGACAGCTCTTCTCTGTTCTGTAGGGTCACCATGAGTTGGAATCGGGGTTTGGAGTGGCTTTATATAAGTCACCTATCGCTCTTGGTAATGAAATGCAGATTTGGATTCAGTCAGTCTGGGGTGTGGCCTGACTCCACATTTCTGATGAGCTGTCAGGGGATGCTGACCCTGCCGGTCTACGTATCAAGGTTCTAGTACAGACTGCCACACGCCCACCACCAGGTTCAAGCTGCTGTCCTCTGAGCTTCACAAACATATTACAGTTTCCTACTTTTTGTTCTTTTCCTGTTCATTGCACAAGTAGTATACAACCATTTCAGAAATATAAGAAAATACAAAGAAGCAAAATTTAAATTTTTTTAAAGTACCCATTTTTTTATTGCTAGAAATAATCACTCTGAGTATATATCTCTTGCAGGCTTTTTTTTCCTCTGCCCACGTATATACATGTGAACATATAATATATATTTTTAATAAATATGCTTCTCCTACTATTAGTGTTTTCAACTTACTGGTTTTCACTTAACAATATATATAGTAAGGAGCTGTGGTGGCGTAGTGCCTAAGGCATTTGACTGCTAACCAGAAGGTTGGTGGTTCAAACCCACCAGCCACTCCACGGAAGGAAGACTGGGCAATCCACTTCTGTAAAGATTTACCACCTCGGAAACCCAAAGGGGGTCACTATGAATCAGAATCGACTCAATGGCAGTGAGCAACTAGCCATGATTAATCACTCTACGTCTGCCTCCCCACTTTTAACCAGTACTAGCACCAGTTGCCATTGAACCCATTCAAGGCGGCCCCATGTGTGTCAGAGTAGAATGGTGCCCCATAGGGTTTTCAATGGCTAATTTTTCAGAAGTACATCACCAGGCCTTTCTTCCAAGGAGCCGCTAGGTGGTCTTGAACCTCCAACCTTACAGTTAGCAGCCAAGCACATTAACTATTTGCACCCCCAGGAATGCCCCACTTTTCATAACTATACATTATTCTGTTTTATACATGCATACACACACACATCCCGTAACTTATTTAACCAGTTCAATTGTTAGAATATTTTATGACCACTGGAGCTGTTCTAAGGTGAATGAAGAAGGAATAGTTGTAAAACAGTGATAACTGGAGATGCCTTGCTATAAAAATGATCAGATTTTCCTCCTATTGTTTTCTGTTTTAAGTTAGAAACAGTACTTGGGGAAGTTAATTACCACTGGGTGGCCAGTCTGCAGGGTGCAGCACTCTCCCATTGAAAAGGCACCTGCTGGTGGCATGGCTGGTGCTACCATTGCCCATCTTATATCCTATCTCTACCTGGCATTGTAGATCTCCCTCCAACACATCACTCACAGAACTTGTTGAGGTTCCCAGAGTGCCCTGCTTTAGGTCACTCTAAGTGCTAAAACCTTGCCTACCCTTTCCCTCTACGTCATCTCTGGTCCTTCAGATTTTAGTTCAGGTAATGCCACTTACAGGAAGCCCTCCCTGGTTTCCCCTAACAAGCTTTTCCCAATGCTGCATCATTCTAGGATATCGACATCTTCAGCTGCGAAACCTCCACAATGAAGTCTTGGAAATCTCCAGTTTATTCATAAACAGCAGAAGGATGGAAGAAAATTCCTCTGGCAGTACCACACCAGCCTCTTTGGTAATTAAGTTCTATTTCCAAAGCACTGTTGGGGTGTTTGGTACACTGGAGTAGGCTTTCCTGTGATACAGGAAAGTGACCTATTAGAATCATTAATTAGGTACCTCTGGGAAAAAAACAATAATGACCATAATGGCTGGCACCTGACACTTACTAAGTACTTTGCCTGTATTAACTCACTCTTCTCAGTAACTTCATGAGCCATGGATTAGTATTGTCTCCATTGTGCCCATGAGGAAATAAGAACTAAGTACCTAGTTCAAGGTCACACGGCTAGCTAGCAGCAGGCCAGGATTTAAACCCAAGTTCATCCAGTGCCAAAGCCTGTGTGGTTTATGAACACATTATAGTGCCTGCAGGAAAGCAAGTCAATAGCAAAGTCAGGAAAGAGGCTAATTAAACAAAGCCTAATGAAGTATCTTGATACTTATAGAAACTTTAGATTGGACCAGGTAAATCCTTTGCTTCCTCATAGTCCAGGGACAGAGCTCACAGACAGAGCAGGGGTCAGGTGGGCAGCCGGGTGCTGCTGGCTATGTGTGACTGGTATCCTGGCACCTGAGATGCAGAGGTGATTCCACTGTACAGCCAAGATCGAGAACAGCACTTTGGCCAAAGTGGGAGAAGTATTGCCTCCGCCTTGTAGAGAGGATTGACAAGCGGAGGCAGGCAGCCTGGTGCCCAAGAGCAGGAGTCAGGTGCTCTCTTAGTACCCTGTCCTGGGTTGGTCGTCCTCACTCACTATCAGAACTGAAGACTCCACACACACTATGCCATCCTTGGTGTTCCTAGGCAGCAACATCTATGTTTGGTTACCTGTTTTTTGACCCATGGAGACCCTGGAGATCATCCTAGATTTTCCCTCTCTCCCTCCTCCTTTCCCTACCGCAAGAGCCAATCATGTAAGACCTGATAACTCTATCTCCTTACTGTATCTCAAATCCATTCATCTCTATCCATCCCTGCTGCCACACCTCTCATTAATTTTTACCCAGCTTGTGGCAGTGGGTCCCTAACTGGTCTCTGTTCCTCTGGGCTTCTCCCACTGCTGTCTCCTCTTGTGAGGCCTCCCAAACAAACCTATGTTTAATCTAAATCTGATCACATCACTCATCTGTTAGAAACCCTTTGTTGGTTCTCTATTGCTCTTGGGATAAAGTTTATAGCAGAGATAAGAGACTCAAATGCCAGAGAGCGGCAAGGAGATCCTGGAAGTGTGTGCATAGTGGACTGGGCACTGGGCAGAGACTCTGAGAAAGTGGGTTGTTCCTGGGTTACTTAAAGAAGGTGGCTGCTTCCCTTGCTAGTTGTCATGCAATGTAACAAGGTCCTCTGATTTTTTTCAAGAGAATCAGGAAATGTGTATTTTTGTATGAAATCTTTTGATGTGTGAATGTTTGCAACAATTTCAATTTTTAAAAATACAGTGCAGGCTAAGCCATACAATTTAAATGTGGATATTTTATTGTAAGCAGATCATACCTCAGTAAAATTGAGTAAGCAAAAATACAGCACACTAAAAACACTCTGGCTCTCAGGTCGCCATTTTGCCACTTCCAAGGTAAATTTTTTAACCAGTTAGACAAAGCCCTGCATGGTCTGGCTTCTACATCCATTTACAATCTTCTTTTCTCCAACACATCACTCACAGAACTTGTTGAGGTTCCCAGAGTACCCTGCTTTAGGTCACTCTAAGTGCTAAATCCTTGCTACCCTTTCCCTCTATGTCAACCTTCCATAGGTCCAGTAAGTCTAGATTCTTTAAGAATTTGAAGATCTGTTCCACATTTTTCTCCCTTTCTATCAGGATTTATCCATCATGCTCCTGATCAGAATGTCCAGTAGTGGTAGCCAGGCAACAAACATGCTTTTTGTATGATAGATTGTTGTGTGTCTTGAGGGGAGCTCCCTAAGGGCAGAGCCTTTTATTTATCATTTTATCATCCAAAATTTCTACCCAGTGCCCTGAGAAAAGCAGGAACCCAAGAGAGATTGATGAAAAGCAAATTATAATTAAAGACTAACATGCTTTTCAGATAATCAGTTCCCTACTTATCATGGAAAGAGACACTTTGAGCTAAAATAAATAGTTTTGTGTGCTGCTAAATTTCCTCACTAGACAGTTGAGAAAAGATGTACCACAAAAAAGTGCATCAGGTTATAAAAGGGTTCTCTTCTTTTTTATTTACTTGTCCTTGAACATACTTCTAAGAACTTCTGTATTGAGTATAACCTGAACATGTTATTTAGAGTGAATGAGAAACCATGTTTCTTGTTTTCTTGACAGATGTTTAATACAGAAGAAAGAAAATGTTTGCAGACACACAGAGTCACAGTGCACGGGGTCCCAGGTCCAGAGCCCTTTACCATTTTCACTATAAATGGAGGCACCAAAGCAAAGCAGCTTCTCCACCAAGTAAGTCTACTGACCCCGTGATTGGAAAAATCCATGTCTAACATATATGAACGTACCTGTGCATGTGTGTGTAGATGCGTCTGTGCCTATAAATGTATATACACACATCCACAAAGGTTCATGTTAATGATCTTCCTTTTAATTATTTATAAATATGTCATTCAAGACTGAGTCCCACCAAAGAATGATCTGAGAGAATCAGATACAGTTGGTACTACTATGCTACTTTAACTTGTAAAGAAAAATTTTTTAAATTTTTCAGCCACGTGAAACACTGGGCTGTAGAAGGATAAACACCAGAATATGTAGCCTTCCCACAACATGTCCTCTTGTCCTCCAAGCTTAGCATCCTTCCTAACTCTGAGTTCATTAAATAATCAGAATTTGTACATGAGCTGAATGAGTCTCCGAGCCATTCTAGGAGTTGGCCTCTCATTTTTAGAGCACTAGGATTGGTCATGTGACCAAGAAGACACCTTCAGCCCTCCAGCTTAAGGCCTTCCTTTGCAAGTTGAGTAACCTGATCCCCTTTCCCTGGCCCTTGATGTTGGCCCTTTAAGTCCCATCCCTCTTTTGGTGTAAAGAGGCATGAAGAGCCTAAAACAAGGGAATGAGAACCTGCTACCCCAAGCCCTGTAGTAGAACTGATCTAAGCCCTCCATGCCCTGCCATTCCCACTCTGTATCTTAGCCAAGGATGTTGCAGCCTTTTGCAGGCACGGTCCTCTCCCATGGAAGGACCTGTCGGAGGGAGAGGGCCAGGAACAAAGAGAGGCATCTCAGGCAGTCTCCACTGTCTGTAGTGGAGACAGTGTAATTCCCTTTCTCTTTACACTAGAAGCTCTACCCCTGCTTGGCACAGTGTCCTAATATCCTTGCAGACTATTTTATCCTTAACCCATTTCAGAATACCTTTCCCTCCTTGGGGTAGACCAAGGGAAACAAAACTGTTGAGTTCCCAGTGAAGTAAGGTATATGATGAAATGTAACTGGGATCATAGAATATATGGGGAATTTAAAACTGGTAGAAAACTTATGATAATAATAAAACCAAACCCACTGCCATCCAGTCGATTCTGACTCATAGCAACCCCCACTGGGTTTCCAGGGCTGTAAATCATTATAGAAGAAGATTGCATCATCTTCCTCCCACAGATCACCTGATGGGTTTGAAGTGTTGACCTTCTGGTTAGCAGCTGAATGTCTTATCTACTATGCCACCAGAGCTCTATTAATAAATGGTTCTGCCATTTAAGAAGAAGTCTCTATGGACAGACTAGGAGCCCTATTGCCCAACATTTTATAGTTGACTTAAATGGAGTCAGAGAAAATAACTTAGGTATCAAATTTCATAGATTTTTGAACATATGCTACTGCCAGAGTTTTGTTTCATTTTTTTCAAATCAATCAGTCCATAAATGTCAATGTCTACTGTCACAAAGTACTCTCGGGGTTTTGGAGAATCTATAAAATGTGGGGATATGAAGTTAAAATGTGTTCCCATGGGCCACCCATAAAAAGCAGCCATTCCTTCATTGTTGCCCCATGTAAATAATCATGTGGATGTAAAGAGAGGACTGGGTGACACTGCCCTCCCATGGAGGTGACTGTGCTGGCTAACCCACCAATGGATGCTTCATGTCCCGGATTATTCCTGTAGTGGTATTTGTGTGCTTAAATCAATCCATTTGTCTTGGCATGATAGAGTCAATAGCACAGTGCCAGTTGTAGACCAAGGCCTGGGGTGAAGGGACCCAGTCTCCTTTAGAATCTTCTGCCCTCAACCCTCTTCAGCACATTCTACTTTTCCTCCAAGTGAGACATACCAGGGCCACGTGTTAACTCTGGTAGTTGTATCATTGACAGTCATCTGAGTAAAAGGGCGTTTAGTTACTCCAGGCCAGATGGTGGCAGCCTTCTCTCTGTCACCTAGCACAGGAAGGCAGCAAAGGGCATTTCTGCATCCTCTTCTCATTCAGCCTTTTGCTAGTACTGTGTACAATGTTGCTGTTGTTGTTACGTGCTGTCAAGTCGGACCTGACTCATAGCGACCCCTCCTTGGGTTTCTGAGGCAGTATCACTATGGAAGTAGATTGTCCCATCTTCCTTCCGAGGAGTGGCTGGTGGGTTTGAACCTCCAACCTTCTGGTTAGCAGTCAAGTGCCTTAGGCACTATGCTACCAGAGCTCCCACCGGTACAATAAGAGGGTGAAAAAAAAATACATCACTAAAAGTACTCACAGTGATGCGTAGTATTTGTTCTCTTAATGTGGTCATATTCTGCTTTATACCAAGGGCCTCAGCAGTGAAATGAAACGAAATTAGAAGGTTGTTATTCTTATTATTCCCAATGCATAGATGGAGAAACTGAGTCTCCAAGGGTTGAATATCTTGCCCAAAACCTCACAGCTGTTAAGTATTAAAGGTAGACCTCAGAGCCAGGTCAGTCTGACTCCAGAGACTTGTCTCAGCCACTCTGTTTTACCACAGAGTCAGAAGCCAACAAAGAAAACAGTGCTCTAGGCACACTGTCAAGGATTTATTGAAAGGAGCATTCCCAAGAACTTAGATCAGATGAGCATGTAGACCTGTGGACCTTCCATTAGCAAATGACTGAGTATTTCCAACATGAAAAAAAAAAAGACATTGTCCTCGTGAAAAAGTAGACTAGGTTCTTTGCCCTAGTTCCTATGTTTTGAGATTACAGAGTTCTAAATTCATGGACTGAAAAGCCTGAAAGTCTTCAATTCAGTAGGATTCTCATTCCGGCAGTTGGAAAAATAGATACACTCTTTGGGGATAATGAATAAATTGTGCCATTGCCCGGAATAGACATAAACAATTCTTTTTGGACAAAAGAAAATTCTTACATCTTCAAAAAAGAATTACGCAACACTCCAGAGTAGGTTTTACTTATCACTTAAACATCAAACATATCCAAACCCCAGAAACATGAAACTGATTTAAATTAAAGTTTTTGCCTCACTCTTCAAGGTGTGCCTCAAGTTTGCCTTTGCTTTTTCTTTAGATTTGGACGACTGAGCAAGGCCCCAAACCTATGACTACAGACTATTTTTTGATGGAAGAAAAGTATTTTATATCTAAAGAAAAGAATGAATGCAGGAAACAGCCGTTCCAGAGAGTTATTGGTCCTGAAGAAGAGATCATGCAGATTTTAAGCAGCTGGTTTCCAGAAGAGGGATACGTCGGCAGGATTGTCTTAAAAACCCAGCAGGAAGTAAGTGTGTCCAGCAGCTCACACTGTAACAGTTTGGTATCAAATTAACGATCTCACCACTCACCCCCATCACATTTAGAATTCCATGCCATTCCACATCGACTTGTTGTCCTTCTTAAATAAATGTTGAGAAATGCTTTTATTCTTCTGCTTATATGCAGAGTGCTATCTCTAAGTTATAGAAATTCAGTCTAAAGATTATTACTTTTTAACCAAGGGAGCAAGAATTTAAAGGATTCCATGTCTATGTCATCAGCTGTGGGGCCAGTATTTTATTTATATGTGTGAAAAAGCCACTGTTATGAGTGTCCGTTATTGTATAAACCAGGCCTATAGGTTAATTTGGGAGCTCTGGTGACGTAGTACCTAAGGCAGTTGACTGCTAACCAGAAGGCTGGTGGATCAAACCCACCAGCCACCCCTCAGAAGGAAGATTGGGCAATCTACTTCTGTAGAGCTACCGCCTCGGAAACCCCAGGAGGGTTCACTGTGAATTGAGATCAACTCAATGGCAGTGAGTATAGGTTAATTTGCTTTCCTGTTAGTACTATTTAAGTCTTAACTAATAGAAGATTCTGTGCTTACAAACAAAATAACAGTATTTCCTTGAAAATATTCTATAACTTCACACAAAGTAAGAATCATTTCTCTATCTAAGTCAAAATTAGTAAAACTTGTATGTTATTCATACTAATATCCCCATTGGAGGAGGCTTGATGGCACAGTAATTAAGTGCTTGGCTGCTACCCAAAAGTTGGGCAGTTCAGACCCTCCAGCTGCTCTGCAGGAAAGATGTGGCAGTCTGTTCCCTTAAAGATTACAGCTTTGGAAGCCCTGTGGGGCAGTTCTACTCTGTCATACAGGGTTGTTATGAATCAATGGCAATGGATTTGGTTTTTTGGAATGTTTGCATGGAGGAATATTCCCATGAAGGAAACAGTACAAGTGCCGTGTTGGTTCCAGATTGTTGTTTGGCTCCTTTTTGACCTTGGTGATGGAGCACCATTGTTTTTGTTGTTGTTGTTGTTTCAGAATAAACTGATAAGAGACCACTAACTTAACCGCCTTTTCTTAAAGTGACATATCAGGTCATTGCTCCAGGAGAGAAATAATGCCTCATAAGACACCATTGAGGAGACAACTGAGTCACTTCAACAGTATGACTAAACTAGTACTTTTGAGCACCTACCTCTTGCCCTGTAACTACAGTGTCAGTCTTCACAAGGCACTGTAGGAGGCAGTGGGAGGAGCAAGCCAGAGAAGAAACTGATGAACTGTTGGGTGTTACTAATATGGTTTATATTAATTGATTAGGACAGCTGTAACAAATTACTACAAAGTAGGTGGCTTAAAATAACAGAAATGTACTCTGACACTTCTGGAGACTAGACGTCCGCATTCAAGGTGTCAGCAGGGCTGTGCACGCTCTCACCAAAGGCTCTAGCTTCCAATCTCTACCAGTTTCTGGTACCTAGAGACATTCCTGGGCTCATGATAACAGGACTCGAATCTCTGCCTCTGCCTTCACATAGCTGTCTTCCTTGTATGTCTCCTCTCCTCTTTTTATGGGGATCCCATTGCCATCAAATCAATACCAACTCACAGCAACCCTATAGGACAGAGTAGAGCTACCCCATAGGCTTTCCTAGGCTATAAATCTTTACAGAAGCAAACTGCCCCATCTTTCTCCTGTGAGCAGCTGGGGAGTTCAGACCGATGATTTTTCAGTTAGCAACTGAGTGGTTAACGACTGCACCACCAGGACTCTTTCTTATATAAGGATGCCAGCTATAAAGAAATTAGCACCCACCCTAATGACCTCATGTTAACTAATTGCATGAGCAATGACTCTCTTTCCAAATAAAGTGACCTTCGCAGGTACTGGATATGAGGACTTGAATATATCTTTTGAGGAGACACAATTCAGCCCACAACATGGTTGCAAGGACTAGGGAGGTGAGGAATGCCCATATGCCATTTAAAGTGTGTATGCACCAGGCAGTAGAGACCTCGGGAGTAGATGCTTGATAAACCCTGAGGGAAGAGAAAGCATTTTGAAGGAAAAGGGGGTAAATATGAAGGGAAGGCTAGCAGGAGTTTTCTGCCAGGTAGAATACGGTAAGTTCTCCTCTCTGTGCCATTGTTGGTAGGAGATTTTTGAAATCACTGAAATACATCTCAAAAGATAACAAATCACATTTAATGTATCTTGGTTTACCTGGTGCACAGTGATAACCAGTAAGTATTTCCTGATTGAATAAGTGAATTCAGCAATTACTGAGTGCAAGAGGACATTGTCTTGGCAGACATTAAGCTATAAGCATTTCCATGTATTTTAGCCTGTGGGCTTAGTAAGATACATAAGCAGTTTGCCCATAAATTGAAAGCCTGTAAATTGCTATCTGTGACCTCTGATCTCTCCTGCCTGCCTTTCATAATTTTCTTATCTCCAGACTTTCAGTGCTCCTTCCTCTGACAGCTACTGTATTTGAAATCAGACCAACCTAACTCTGTCTCTCACGAGATGACCTTGGGGAGGCCATGTAACTTCTAGAAGCTTCAGTGCACTCATTTGTAAAATCTGTAATTAAAAACTAAGGAACCCTGGTGGCACAGGGGTTAAGAGCTTGGCTGCTAACCAAAAGGCCAGTGGTTTGGGAGAAGGATGTGGCAATCTGCTTCTGCAAAGTTTACAGCCATGGAAACCCTCTGGGGCAGTTCTACTCTGTCCCATAAAGTTCATATGAGTTGGAATTGACTCCACAGCAATGGGTTTGGCTTGCTTTTTATAATGAAAACTACCATACATAGCTCAAAAATTATGGTAGGATTCATGTCAAATCTGTAGATAAAGTGTAGAAAAAGCCTTAATGAACTGTAAAAAGCTATACAAATGAGGGCTGCTGTTATCTTCTCTGTTCGTAACCTGTGGCTTCTTTTATGGTCAAAAACAAAACCAAACTCGTTGCCATTGAGTGGGATCTGACTCATAGCGACCCCTCCTTGGGTTTCCGAGGTGGTATCACTACAGAAGTAGATTGCCCGAGGTGGTATCACTACGGAAGTAGATTGCCCAACCTTCCTTTTGAGGAGTGGCTGGTGGGTTTGAACCACCAGCCTTCCGGTTAGCAATCAAATGCCTTAGGCACTGCGCCACCAGAGCTCCTTCTGATATGGTGGAATTCATTAAAGCACATGAGCTTGGAATAAGGGCCTAAGGACCAAAAAGGGAGTGCTCTTAAAAGTAAAGCTTAGTGCATGGATGTCAGAATACTTTAACTAGCTACTTAGACCGTTTTTTGTTTTGTTTTTTGTTGCTTGCTTCTTGATTTTCAGAGTGTTGCGATTATAATTATGTCACGTGTGTTATCCCACAGCACTTTAACTGGTTAAGTATAGTATGATCAATGCAAGAACATATTATGCAGCCAGATCATATCATGCAGTTAGATTTCTAGGGATTGGCATTGAATAAAGACCACAGTCTTTTAAGTGGAGGAAACAACAAATTGCATGGCAGTATATGTAGTAAAGGCGCTCTGGTAGCATAGTGCCTAAGGCACTTGACTGCTAACCAGAGGGCTGGCAGTTCAAACCCACCAGCCACTCCTCAGAAGGAAGGTTGGGCAATCTACTTCTGTAGTGATACTGCCTCAGAAACTCAATGAGGGGTCTCTATGAGTTGGGTCCGACTCGACGGCACATAACAATAACAACAAATATGTAGCAAAATCTCATTTTGTGAAATAAAAGTAGACAATAATTCTCCTCCCATAATATAATGAATGGGGCCTAAGAAATTCAATAATACAAATTATGGGTTCCATGATTGAAAGGTTAAAGAAATGATGGAAGCAAGCCTGTGTAACCAACTGACCCAAAACTCCAGGAACCAGTTTTTTCTGGTCCTGGTTACAATTTGGCGCCACCTGGTAGCAGTTAATCACTCTGACTTTAATATCAATGATGACGATTCTGGATCTTGTGGCTGCTTGTAACTTCCAAGATGCCAACAGTGATTCTTGGAGTCTTCAGGATAATTAGCACCATTTCAGTGGCCTGATCTGAGATTAGGCTAGAATGCTGGGGATATAAAGAACTTTCTGTCAACCTCTCCCTTCCTGAGATGGGCTGTCTACTTACTGTTTATTTGCCTGCCCTCACCCTCCCATGTTCCCCCTTGCAGAAGATCATTTTAAGCTAGCCTCCTTCATTTGGCAATAGTGCTGAGAAAAACACAGGCGCCAACTGGCAATCATATCTAAATTCAAATAGTTCCAGGGTTTTGTTATATATATATATATGTATTTGTTCATATACACTAAAATATATTTGCATATCTATAGCACATGCCTAAAGGATATATAACCTAACAACAGTAGGTTTTGTGGATAATGAGCTTGGAGAAAGAATAAAAAAAGAGAATAGGAAAATTTTGCTTTTTTTATTGATAAATTTCTACACTTTTTTACTCACAATTTTTTTTTCCTTAACATAGAACCAAGAAGAGAAGAGCATTGTTCAAGATGACAGAGAGGTGACCTTTAGCTCTGAGGAGGAGAGTTTCTTTGTCCAAGTGCATGATGTCTCTCCAGAACAACCTCGAACTGTCATCAAAGCGCCCCGGGTCAGTACCGCACAGGATGTCATTCAGCAGGTAAAAGCCTCTCCCTTTCCTACCTCCATGTTTCCTAGCTGTAAATTATTGGGACAAATCAAATATCTATGCATCGGCAACTCATTTGGTGAATGAAGTTCTAGAACAGTGGGGGCCAGAGAAAGGAGAGTGTGCCTTTTAAAGCCTGTGAAATAGAATTCATTCTTTCAGCAGGTACTTACCCAGTACCTACTGTGAGTCAAAGGAGCCCCTGGGTGGTGTGTACAGTAAAGCAACTGGCTACTAAAAGAAAGGTTGGCAGTTTGAACCCACCAGACTCACCTCAGAAGAAATGCCTGATGACCTGCTTCCAGAAGGCTGCAGCCTTGAAGACCTCATAGAGCAGGTCTAGTCTGCAACACGTGGGGTTGCCATCAGTCAGAATCAACTCGGGCAACTGGTTTGATTTTGGTTTCTTATGAGTCAGACTGTGCATAAAGTGCTGATAATAATGAATTTAGGTGACTCTGCAGAGTGGTAATTTCATTGTCCCAGAAATGCTTAAATCCAGACTCCATGAGGATCTCTCAAGGGCCCTACAGAGGATATACAGAAGGCCTCTTCCCTCCTCTAGGTCATGGTTCTTTGTTTACATGGTTTTAGAGAATAATGAAAAATGTTTCCTTCCTTCATAACCTTGTCATGGTTTGCATTCTTAAAACACTCATCTGAGAAGTGGTATAGTATATGGTCAAGAGCACCAACTCAAGATCAAATTGCTCAGAGTTCAAATGTGAGCTCTACTTATTCACTCTGAGATCTTGGGCGAGTTTTTGAACCTCTTCACGCCTCAGTACAATGGTATACTGGTAAACTGTTACTCTGGAGTGGGGAAGGGAGCCCTGATTTGTAGCATTTGCCAATTTCTGTTGTGTAAATACTCCAACTATGTCTGATTTCATAAGCCTATTCCAGTTGGCTCCAGCCCACCACTAAGTGATATCACTGCACAGATGACATGGAGATAATGATAGTACTTTCTTCACTGGGTTGTTCCAAGGATTAAGTAAACTAATATATAAGTAAAGTGTTTAGCACAATGCCTGGCACATGGTAAGCAATGTTTAAGTGCTATTTGTTATTCTTTGTTATTCTGCATGATCATTCAGTTAATAGTAGCTTCTTCAATGACTTTGAAGTCTAAGCAGACTCAGATTTTTTCTCTTGTCTCCCAAAGTATAGCACAGAACCTGGCACATAGTTGGCCCTCGGTAAGCATTTGTGGAATGAATAAATGCCTAAGTGAAAAATATTTTTTGCAATATATGAGGTGACACCACATAACATCTAAAAGTCCTTCAATATCCAAGACTTTATGCTGAAGAGGCAGCCTGCTGAGAATCGGGATTCTCATTGGCTGTAGGACTTTTGTGTTTGTGGCCCTTGGCACATGCAGAAAATCAGGTTCAAGTCCTCTTTCTGTTACTTATGAGCTGAGTAGCCTCTGGAATTAGAATTAGCTTAACCTCTGTAAGTTCAAGCTTCATGTGAAAATGAAGATAGTAAGCATGGGCTGTTGTGAAGCTAAATGAGGCAGTGTGGGGAAGTACATTATAAGCTACAACTACATAAATGGAAAATGAGGAGCTGGATGACATGATTTGGAAGATCCCTCCATCTCTAAAAGTCTGGTTTGAGTCCAGCTGCAAGTTTTAACTTACAATGAGAGCAAGTGTTGGGGATACTGGATCTTTATTCAGATGACTGTACTTACCTTTCAGACCCTATGCAAAGCCAAATATTCCTACAGCATTCTGAGCAACCCCAACCCGAGTGACTATGTGCTCATGGAAGAGGTGGTGAAAGATCCTACCAGCAAGAAGTCGTCTACCCCAAAGTCCTCCCAGAGGGTTCTTTCGGATCAGGAGTGTGTATTCCAAGCCCAAAGCAAGTGGAAAGGTGCTGGAAAATTCATCCTTAAGCTAAAGGAGCAAGTTCAGGTAAACAAAAATTATTTGATGCACTTAATCACATCGTAATCGTATTTGAGAGCTTGTGGGATGGAGGAGAGAGAATTGAGGAGGGAGAAAGGATAAGGTTGGTTGTTGTCACTGTATGAAGATAAATGCATTCCCTCTGAGGTGAAACAGTCCCGAGGGAGAAGCCCCTCGGACCTTCATTCCAAAGGTCTGTTCACAACAGAGGCAAGAGGGAAAGTGCCCTTTCTGATATAGTATCACAGGACTGAGGTCCCTGAGTTTAACTCAGTATCAGTGGAACTTTCTTTCTCTCCCCAGTCATCCCGAGAAGATAAAAGAAAAGGCATTTCTTTTGCAAGTGAACTCAAGAAGCTCACAAAGTCAACAAAACAGCCCCGCGGACTCATATCACCTTCTTCTCAGCTCTCGGTCTCAGAAAGTGTCCAGATCAAAGAGGAGAAACCTGTGGGCAGTTTGTCCTCAAGCGACGTGGTGGACTATCGGCAGTGACCAAGGGCAGCGTGCGTCACCCAGGTATACCAGGTCATTGCAGCCTTCTGAAGTGGCGCTCCACTCAAAATACACTGTGAGGCATAGCTATAGTATTATCTTTTTTCTGAGAAAAAGAAGTCCTCTGAAGACAGGTAGGAATGGTACCTTAAAACAGGAAAAGGGGTCTTAAGATAAATTTATTAAACTTGCCATTTATAATTTTAGACCACCTTACTTTGTAGATGACTCCACTAAAGCCCTAATGGTGCAGCCAACTTACTCAACAATCACAACAGCCTGAACAGACAGGGTACTGTTGTTAGCGTGAACAGATATGTTATTGTTGTTGACAGCTGCCACCATGGCAACCCCCTTAAACACTGCCCCGTCCTGCACCATCCCCAGGATGGGTTGCAGATTGGACTGTCATGACCCAGAGGGGTTTCGCTGGCTGATTTTCAGAAGTAAATCACCGGACCCTTCTTCCTAGTCCATCTTAGTCTGGAAGCTCCTCTGAAGCCTGTTCAGCATCATAGAAGCATGCAGGCCTCCACTGACAGGTGGTGGCTGTGCACGAGGTGAATTGACCAGGAGTCAAACCCAGACTGATCACACATAGAAATGTCTCAATATTGGTAACTCACGGGAACGTTCTTGAAGAGCTGCTATGGATCTTTCCAATGTAATTCCTTTTAGATTCCTAGTTTTAAGACTGTTCTAACTTATGTTTGATTTCTCTCAATACTCTCATCTTCTGCCTCAATTAAATAAATAAATCTGCCATGCAGGATGTAATAGATAAAAAGCAAGCAAAATAATGTACCCACCTCCATCCTGAAACTAAAGTAAATTGGGGCTTCAGTTGTCAGCCCACTGTTGGTATTCAAATAGAGAGTAAATTTCATACTAACTTGAAGGACATTATTTATATGGGACTTGAATGAAAGCATGTAGGGGAAACAAAGAAAGGTCTCTGCTTTTCACTTAGTTTTTATGAACCCAGGGGATTATTAAGGCCCACTCTTCACCTATACGATTGTGTTTTGTCTGGTTTAAAATTCACAAGAGAACAACAGCATAGAGAAGAAGGCATTACTGCTCATACTGCAGAGTTTTGCAATCTGTCTTTATCACAGTTGGGAATTGCAAAAACGGCAAAGAGGCCACATGTTCTGACCTCCTCTAATCTCACAAGAGAAAGACAGCAGTAACCCAAGGCCTATTACTGCAAGGCCAAACATGCTGCCTCCCTCC